CTAATCCTTCAGAAGGACTCTAACGGTAAATGATGCAAATGACGAAGAGTTGTCATACGGCAGAATTAAAGTAAGAAAATAAGGAAAGCAGTAAAGAAGAGAATGCATCGCGACGATCACTCGCGTAAATTACAAATCCCAAAAATGCAAAAATAAATAACTGCGACGATGGCCTCGCATGATTACAATTGAAAAGAAAAAAAGACAATACGAACAAATGAAAGATTAAGAAGCTGAAACAATCAAAAAAATTACGAGGGTTAGACAGAAATTGAAACGGCTAAACTAAGGGTTTTATTTTTGAAAATTTATTTAATGGAGAAGTTAATTTTGCAATTAAAGGAGAACTTAAAAAAAAATTTGTCTTGATTTGATAAAAGAAAATGTTTTAACTTGGAGTTTTTTTTATGGAAAAAAAATATTTTAATGTTTTTTTTAACATGCTAAAACAGGTTTTAATTTTAATGTTTTTTTTTTTTAAAATGGTGTAATTTTGATATAAAAAATGTTTGATTTTAAAAAAATTTAAATTTTAATATTGAGAAAGTTTTAATTTTAATATAAAAATGTTTAACTTTAATATGTAAAATTTTCAATTGTGAAAATGGTTTTGCAATTAGACCTTTTAAATTTAAGCACCTTCTAATTTTGCATTAAGTTTTATTAAGACCAAATATTTATTATCACCATTATTAACTCATAAAAGTAACAAAAATAAAAAACCTAAATAAATTAGAAAAGAAAAATGGAAAAATAAGTAAAAACATAAAGGACTACAATGAGTCCGTGAGATTCTTATTTGCTTCTAGAGTTCCATCTTTTTCCTTTGAAAAGGCTGCCGCCATTGTTGCTCGAAGCTTGAGCTTCTCATCCTCTCTTTGGCTTGCATGTTGTCCGTTCTTCCTCTTTTTCACCTAAAAAACACCAAAAAACAAACATAAAGATGAGGTCAGTGAAGAGATAATCTTACGGTTCCGGCGCAGTTTCTTGACGGATGATGGTTTTCGGTAACCGATTGTTGACGCGTCTGGGATGCTTTCGAGGTGATGATGATGATGATCTTCGTTGTTTGAGCCAAACGGATAATGACGGATCTCTTTCTCTTCGAACTCGACCGCCATTTTCTTTCATTACTCTTCTTATTTCTACTTTAATGGGATGATGATGACGGAACCCCTTTGGGTTGATCTGAATCCCAAGCTTGCACCGCCGTCGGTTCCTTCTTCCCCCTTTCGGATCTTGATCCCTTTTATGATTTATATGATTTGTTTATGTTTGATTTGTGGGTTGGGTTTGTGATTTGGCGGATTTGTTGCCGTATTTCCTGCGGTTTCGTTGGATGCTTTTGACTCATTGTTACTGTTGAGTTTGAGTTTGTTGTGATTTTGTTATCGTTGGCTTGTTGAATCCGTGGGCTTCGCCTTTTCTGAGAAACCAGCGTTAAGGCTGCGTTTGGAAAAATCATTTTTTGAAAATAAGTGCTTTTTTCGAAAAGCACTTTTCTGGATAAGCACTTTTTAAACCAACTTTTTTCAAAACCACTTTTCTGGAAAATCCTTTTTTTCATCTCTCTCTCTCTCTCTGGTTGCCTCAAAGAACAGTTTATTGTCGGGTTTTGGCCTTTTGGTTGCGAATAAAGTCGGGAGCCGGCTTCGGAGTAATCTGTTGCCCTCCCGACACACCCGATGATGATACTACTCTGAGGGTGTCGGAAACAAACTGACCGATTAAATTTTTTTGTTTTCTTTGCTTATTTTCACAGGTTCGGAGAAATCGGAAAAGTCGGAGAATCGGAAGAAATTTAGGAATTTATTATTTTATGTAAAATGTAATTAAATGTATATTTTTTATTTTTTATTTTTCTTGTGAAGAACTCTTATTATTTATAATAATCCTTTATTATTTTCTTAAAATTTTTTTATTTTTTTATTTTTTATTTTGATATGCAAATAATAATAAAAATAAAACTTAGCATAAAAATGTATGGAATGAAAATAATATTAAAGAAAAATGAAATTAATTAAAAATGAAAAATAAAAATGAAATGGAATTATTTAAAAATGAAATGAGACTAAAATTAAAAATGAAATAGAAATGAAATTGATTTTTCTTTAAACAATGAAACAATGATTGATTTAAAAGTGGAATTAATTTAAAAAATGAAATATGATTAATTTAACAATAAAATGAATTTAAAAATGAAATATTGATGAAATTAATTTAAACTATGAAATAAAAATTGAAATGAAAACCTTTTTTTATTAATTCCTAATTCCTCCAATTTATCTGACTAATCTCGTTTCCTACATAACTTCGATTAAACTTTTCGGCAATCCACATGAATAAACTTATCCGAATAAATCCAAACTATCTGATTAAACTCAAAGGATCATAATCTCTGGCTAACTTCAATAACTTGCATCGATTTAATTTGAACAGCTCAAATCCTTCCATTATTAACTTTCCAATTAACCCCCTTAGCCTCGATTCACATTAACAATATCAAACGGCTCAAATTTCCTAACTACAGCTCAAAGTTCGTAAATTGACCAGTCGGCTGTAAACAAATGACCGTCTTACCCTTCATGAACCAAAGAGCGCACAAATGCGACTTTTTCTGCAAAAGTCAACTAACTACACAAACATGTTAGTGGTTAGTTAAAATGCAATGCGAATGAGATGACGTGCGAAATGAACCTAATAATCTCGGGGCAAAATTTGGGGTATTACAGTTACTCCTATTTAAATAGCTTCACCAGATGATTTGAGCAGCGTAGACTCGAGGAATCACGGTGGAGGGATTTAAATACATGATCGAAAATTTTGCCCTTAGACGCAGTCATATGCGATGCTATGGACAAAAAGAAATGAGCTATAATGCTGATAATGCCATGAATTTAATATGATACACGTGTTGGATTGATAAATGCAAGGATGCAGATGACACGACGATACATGGACAAGCGCGATGAACAAACCACTGGGGAATACGATGCACTGGGAAATTCTAAAGTAATGGCCAACCTGTGCAAGCACGACTAATTGTGGCTTTAGAAAGAACGGCAACACAGGATCCTCACGGCGGTAGGATTAGGGAAACGACAAGCGTTGGGCTTTTCGGGACATTTCTTTAAACGAAGAGATCGAGCGGGATCCTCAGGAATCGTCGGAAGATATACAAGGAGAAACAACCACCAGAGATACTCGGAAAAACATCGAATAACCTCGAGGGCAAAGAAACAAATTTCAGAGACATTTGGAAGAACATCGAATGAACTCTGAAACACACCAGAGATACTCGGAAAAACGTCGAATAAACTCTGGGACAAAGAAACAAAATGAGAACATCTATAAGAGCATGAAATGATGACAAGGTCTTTGAAGGTACATCCGAAACATTTAGGAAAGCAATAAATATACGGGACAAGTTTTGAAGACCTATCTGGAAGAACATCAGATAAGCAACAAAGGAGTTCTGGAAGAAACATCAGAACCAAAACTCAATCTGGAAAAACGTCAGAGAGAGAAACGTATCCGGAAAACCATTGGAAAGATTCTGGAAAACCATCAGAATCGAAAGAAAATATCTGGGAAACCATCAGATAAGTTCTGGAATAAAATCAGAACAAAGGCTCAAACTGGAAAAACATCAGAGAGAGAAACGTATCCGGAAAACCATCGGATAGATTCTGGAAAACTATCAGAATCAAAGGTAATATCTGGAAAACCATCAGATAAGTTCTGGAAGAACATCAGAACAAGGACTCGATCTGGAAAACCATCAGAAAGAGGGATAAATCTGGAAAACCATCGGATAAATTCTGGAAAACCATCAAAATCAATCTTGAAGCACACTTGAGTAGGTATCTTAATCCCAAATCCAAATTATATTGTATTTTAGGCAAAAGTAATTGAGAAAGCAAAAAGACCTTAATTCTAATGAACCCGCAACTTCCTATTTTGCACCATCACTCGTATCTTACACCTTAGGCAAATCTATTTTCATAACAAGCCTTTCTTGCCCTAATGAAGAAATGACTTGAGAAGAATCATAAACCTAATTCCAAGTATTCTAAGTTGAGGTAATGATGAAGCATTAATCACATGCTCTAGTATCTTGATCTTAAAGTACCATTGATTCATAAGAAACCAAATTTGGTCACGACTTTAACGAGATATAGCCAGAAAGTCCACCCAAGATATCTTTAAAGTATTAACCCAAGAATGGCCCAAGAATGAAGAAAGAATTCTGGAAGTGGATCCCCTATCAAGTAGAAACCCTATGACGACCTTAAGTCAGGATCAACTGGTCATGCTATGAAATACCTGATTGTGAGAATAAGTATTATCTTCATTTGAAATTTAATGCACCTGCACAAGCAGGTTAGTGATGATAAGCACACGCACAAGACCCTATGACCTAAAAATGCTATGTAAGATGATGGATAAAGAAATGGGATCTTAGGGTCAAAAATTAGGGTATGACAACAAGCTTCAAGACCCAATAAGTATTCCTCCTCCGAGATAGTAATGGCTAGTCGATCCCCTTTGACATAAAGTTTCGGAAGCTGACTAAGAGGGATATCACAAATATTATTGACTACTTCAGCAAAAGACTTTGGTTACTTAACTATCATCTCTGAATTTTATATCGTCCCCTTAATATCAGAACTTTCTCCAATGCAATCGAGGAATTTCTATAAAACAATAAAATTCCCTATCAGAACAATCAAGAATTGAAGGTTAAAAAAGTCCAATAAAAACCCTAATCTCATTGGCATTAATCATCAATTTTATATGGTCGATGAATAAAAAGTTTTAGAAAAAAAAACTTTCAATTTATTACATTTTTTATTTTATTTTAAAAATAAATACTGTTTTTATTAGCGATGTTGTGGAAACATGGTACGATGACACATAAACCTTTGCTAGAACAAAACACAACCTCATCATCAGCTTCATCTTCTATTCGAAGCTACAACCAAACGTAACCGTTTTCAATGTCCACCGTCAGAATTCAAGTTTCAGCGTGCGCTCTTTCCGCCACCGTCAACCACCTTCGTTATCGTCCAAACTACGTCGTTTCAACGAGCCGCTTCAACAACCATTTCAGCGTCAGACCCCTCAGAATTTCAATGTCTTCTGTTCCTCCTTCCGAGCCCTTGGAAATCGCTGTCAAAGCTTCTCTCACCACACCCAACAAGCTCGGAGACTGTAAAAAAAAAAACTTACCTATTCACTTTTTAATTTATTTTCAGCTTTAAGCTTCTTTTTTGTGTTATTTGATTGAGATTGAAATGAAATTTGCATTTGAGATATTTATTGTATAGATATTAGATAGAAAGAGTAGAGTAACTTGGTTATGATAATGTTTAGGAATAAAGATGAGGAACAGAAATCATGATGTATCTAGACTTATAATGTGTCCACATGCATTCTCAGTTTTCACTAAATTTGTCAATTTTGTTTTAATCAGAAATTTTAATATTATGGTGATACAAGCTCGAATTTAGATTATTAGCTCATATGTTTGTGTGTATATGTTTAAGACAGTATTCTCAAATAGCGGCTACAGCATAGTGGAATTTGAACAATCAACTATTGTTGTGTTTGGTAAAAATAGTTGATAGCTGATAGCTTATAACTGATGACTGATAGCTGCTAAGTTTATAGTTGATAAACTATTGTTAATATGCTATTAAGTATAAACTACTGTCAAATGGAAGCTATAGCACTCCAGTGTAGTGGAATTCGAAGAAACCACTATTATTGTCTGCGATTTGCGATTGACAATACTAAGATTGAAGTAAAATTGTGTACTTTCTCATGTCTTGCAAAGTTTTGAGCTGATATTGACATTGAAATTAAGTTATTGATATCCAAATTTCTTGTATTTTGTTTTAATTCTAGGATGTAGATAATGGCAACAAAACAGCCTTTGTCTTGGAATTATACAGAGTTGATTATGCATATATTCTCTATTTGAGAAAACAAAGAAGACTTATGTTTGCGTTTGAGTCTTAAATATGAAGTATCTATAATCGGTTAGTGACCCTTTATTGAATTTTCTATTCAGGCCCCTTTACACAAAGGGTATTGCTGACCCTGGAGGAAAAACATTTACCTTATGAGACAAAATTGGTGGATTTAAGGAACAAACCAGAATGGTTATCTTCTAGTCCATTTCTGCGTGCTAAGTTTTTTTCCCTCTATCTTTGAGAGTCACTTAGTCCACAAATTCTTCTATCATCATACTGCGTTAGTATTTTGTTTTTTTGTAATAATTTGTTTTGGTGATTCAGGTTCCTTGAAATCAGCCCTGAAGGTAAAGTTCCTGTAATAAACATTGACGGGAAGTGGGTTCCTGATTCAGATGTAATCACACAAATATTGGAAGAGAAGTATCCTAGCCCACCATTGGTGACTCCACCAGAAAAGGCTACAGCGTATGTCTTTCGCTTATAAATTTCCTCAACATGACTTTGAGTTTTTTGAAAAATGAATGATGGTTCTTGAATGTTTACACGGCTAATATTAAATTTACTATGATCATCTAATGTATGCGACTGTTTTTGTCTATAGTGGATCAAAGATCTTTTCTACATTTATTGGATTTCTCAAGAGCAAAGATCCCAATGATGGAACAGAACAAGCATTACTGAATGAACTAAACATCTTCAATGATTACCTCAAGGAAAATGTACGACTTTTTTTCCCGTTTTTGTCTTTCTGCATTTTGTCTGAGATTTTTTCCCTATAAACTTAAAATCTATGCAAAATACTTCTTCTCACAGGGTCCTTTTATCAACGGGAAAGACATATCTGCGGCTGACCTGTCACTTGGACCCAAGTTATACCATTTGGAGATTGCTTTAGGGCATTATAAGAAATGGACAGTACCTGATTCACTTAACTTTTTGAAATCTTACTTGAAGGTACATTCACGATAAATCTCCCCAATCAACAATATATATCATTTTCTTGTACTTTTAGGCTATTTTCAAATCTATAATTGAATGGAGAAGACTTCCTTAAGCCTATATTTATGATGCAGTTTTATAAATGTGAATTGTTGATTAAGTTTGTGGAAATCATGTCCAAAAGATGTTCTGCATTGTACATGCTTAAAGATAGGCTAATGAGTGAAAATGGTTTGTCAACAAGGAAAACTAAATTTGGAGTTTCTTCTGAGCTCTTAATTCATATGTTTTCGATAATGTACTTTGGCCTTTGAAAACTTTTTTATTACATAGGACATAATATAGAAACTTTGGCCCAAGCCGGGTTTTGTAATTTTGTACTTCTTCCTCAATACTCAAAAATGTATGACAGAAGCCCTTTTGTGCAATTATCAAATTTGCTATAGCTAACAATGTTGAACATACAGGATATTTTCTCGAGGGAATCATTCATCAACACGCGTGCACTGACGGAGGATGTCATTGAAGGTTGGCGTCCTAAAGTGGAGGGTTGATAATATCCTCATGCTACTCTTTTCTTTTACTTTCCTGAGACTCTTTAAGTTACATCCAACTCTAGTTGAGTATATATTCAGCAGCATTACAATATAGAGTTGAATACCGATATCGCCATGTGTATTTTAGCCTTGATTATTTATTCGCCATGAACTAAAGCATAATTGTTGTTTTATAGTTGGCCATAGATTGTAACATGTTAGGGAGAGGAGCAAAATAGTTGCATTCTGCATATAAAACTAGAATTGCATTCCTTAAACTAGTGCTGCACTATGCAAGAAATAATTGTGCAGTTGGGAATGGGATATGATGTGCCATTGACCTTGGTCTTAAATAAAAGGAGGTAACTTTCCCTACCCTCAACATCACTTCAAAAGTTTGCGTTTGATAAATAAGCAAATTTTATGTGTGAATGTAGACAAAAAAAATATGCATCTAAGAACAATGGTCCAATTAAATTTTTGAAAGTTTGAAATATCATATATTTTTAGGGTCTCTTTAGTGAGGAGAATGAGGATAAAATAGAATAAATATATAAATATTTATTTTATTGTGTTGTTTGCATACAACAATAACAATCAAATCTTATCCATCTTATCCGGATAAGGAGAGTTGGCATCAAATCTTATCCATCTTAGGAGAGTCGGCTACATAGATTAACTTTTGTTATAATATCTTATCAAGTATCATATTCAAATCATTAATTTTTAGATTTTTTTAATAACTTCCGATCGTATCTGACCAGAGAGATCGTTGGGCTGCAACATGGACTGAGCTGTTGAACAGTTGACTTGACGGACAGAGGGGGGTGTACATGAAACACACTCTGATGTCAAAGTAAGCGATAAGCAGAGTGATAACAAGTACAGAGAAAAGGAGTGAGAATTAAATTACCTGACCCTCTAGTGGAAGATGGTATTTATATTGAGCCCCCAGCGCAGGGCCAACGGTTACCACGCGTTGGGCTGAGCTATCAGGCTCAACGTTGGTAACTGCTAGGACTGATGTGGCGTCGTGAAGACCAGGACGTGGTCTCCGCCATAGTGTAATTGTTCCATACTATCCGGGAGGTGGAGGACCGAATCATCAGGACACGAATAGTTACTTGATGATGTGTCTCCGCGTAGGGGACACGTAGAGAACGTGGGGAGGTTTGAGGAGCTTCTCGGGCTGGCTGGGCTCTGCCCGATCGTGGGGCAGGAGAAGGCTACTCGAACAGCTATGAAGGTCCTGCCCGACGGCTGTTGGTCTGTGTCCGACAGGAGACGATGTTCTGTCCGACGGGCCTTCTACTGTTGGTTGATGGGGTCTTATTGGGCCTTCCAACCCGGTGGAGTTTGGGCCTGCTCGACTATGGGCCAGACGTCGGCCTAGTCTAGAACAACTTCTTTCTTAGTCTTTTTTTTTTTAGTTGTTTGACTTTTTCTATTTGATCTATTCTCTTTTACCACATAATTGTCGGTCTTCTCTTTACATGTACATACTATCCAAGTATATTTTCCATAATCTTTTTTAATATAAGTGTTATTTAAACACTCTAATATTTTTATAGGATAAATATATTTTTGGTCCCTCTAAATATCTCACACTTTATTTTTAGTCTCTATAAAAAAAAGCACATATTTAGTCCCTACAAAAATTTTATGCATGCAGTTTTAATCGTTGTTATTTTCTAAAATTTTAAAAATTATTTAACTACCCCTAAACTTTTAAATTTTTAAATAATTTTTTTCATACATGTTCAAATTATTTTAAAATATTTCTTTACCAAATTATATAATTTTTTAAAATGAGAAGAATTAAATATGAGTTTTTTAAATTTTATAAGATAATGATAAAAGTAATGAAACTCTCGACTTATAAATCAAATTTTGAGTTTTTCTTTTTCGAAAAACTCTTTATAGCATTCTAAACATATCTGCAAAATAATCATTCAAAAATTCATATTAATTTACCAGTAGGGACTAAAACTACGTGCATAATATTTTATAGGGACCAAAACACACTATTTTTTTATAGGGACCAAAAATAGAAGTTGGTAATTTTATAGGGACCAAAAACATATTTAACTCTATTTTCATTTATAATCTTATTCTATTGAGTTTAATCACACATTTGTTGTAACATCCTCATCTCTGTTATACTTATTTTATTCTCATGTTAGATTTTTAATTGCCTAACATTCTATCTCGTACAACATCGCAGTCTCTCCCATACTCATGCGAGTATGTATCAGATGGATATCCTTAGATCTTGAGATACTCGCGAGTATTTACGGATATTTTTTTTAATTGTAATTTATTAATTTTTCTTATATCATCCAAATACTTAAAATTTTTAAAGAAGACACGAAGCAAGAAAAAGAAGCGGAAGAAAAAATATGAAGCTAGAGTTTTAAGTGAATATGAGATTATTAAATTAAATTAAGTGGTTATTAATAAAAAATAATTTATTATAATAATTTTAAAATATATTTAAATAATTTTTCTAATTATTAACCGATACAACCTCTTGTATTTCTCTATCATTTATTACGGATTTAAAATATTTAGAATGTGATCTGACCTGATCAGAAGGGGATCACGGGCTGGTCACACGCTGTTGGACTGCTACCTGTTCGCCGATGATGAGGAGGAGAAGGGGGTGTACCTGCAAGACACTCCGATGTCAAAGTAAGGAATTGGGCAGAGTGAGAGCAGAGTACAGAAAAGGGCAGGATGTGAAATTACCTGACCCTCTTGTGAAAGAGGGTATTTATAGAGAGACCCCAGTGCTGGGCCAACGGTCACTTGTGTTGGGCTGGATTGCCGAGCCCAACTCAGGTGACTGCTAGGGCTTACGTGAAGACCAGAAAATGGTCTTCGCCCTAGTTCAACTGTCCCGCGATCTCCGGATGATGAGTTTGATTTGCTCTTTCGGAGGTGGGCAGTTGGTTAGTGACGTGTCCCCGCGGAGGGGAGCACGTGGAGAACGTGCGCGTGGCATGTTGTTCTCCCCGCGGAGGGGAGCTCGTGGGATTCCCGGGCGGTGTGTGGCTCTCCCCGGGGGGAAGGCACACGAAAGCGGAGAAGACGAATCGCCATGCCCGTTGGCAAGGGGATTCTGCCCGAGGAAGTTGTTCGGTCCGGCTAAGGGGAGCGTCGAGGACGCTTCGAGGCGTGTCGTCCCGCTGGACGAGGAGCGTGTTCTGCCCGTCCGATGGGGGGGTGCATCCGGTCGAGCTGTTTCGCTTATTGGGCCTTGTGCGTTATTGGGCTGGACCGCGAGGCTGGGCCCAGAACAGGAGCCCCCCAAGTCGAAGCTCTGTGGCGAAAGAGCGAGGACTTAAGGTCGTTGCTTCGGGAAAAGAGGTAGCAAGGAGGGTGGCTCGTTGGTCTTGTGTTCGACGGGGCGCGTGTACGTGCGAAGGTCTTCCTGTCGTCGGGAGAGCGAGGCAAAAGTACATGAAGGGACGCGGCCGTCAGGTTACCGCCACGTGTCACGCACTGAGTGGGTAGTAGGACGACTACCCTAGGACACTCAAAAACCTAGTGTCGCTTCGAGTTCTGCGCCGCATTATAAATACGGGGGTCCCCGCGCATTTTTTACTTTTCACCTTGCTTTCTTACCTGCGAAACTTTGTGACTCCTCCCCGTCCGCCGTTGTTGTGAATCGTCGTTGCGCCGTTAGTTCTGCACCCCGTTCGCCGCTGTCACAAGTGAGTTTCCTTCTTCTCTTCTTTTATTTCCGCCGTTTAATTAGGGTCTGTGGTTAGGGCGCGATGAATGCCCCGAGGAGAGGCGCGAGTATCCGCCGCGTCTGGCGGTTTCTTTTAGGTTTGTTTGAATGTCCCGGGGAGGTTCGGTTGTTCCGGTGAATGCCCCGGGGACGGGTGCTTTCTACGATGAATGCCCCGGGGACGGGTGCTTTCTACGATGAATGCCCCGGGGACGCGTGCCTTTTCCGATGAGTACCCCGGGGAGGGGCGATAGGTTAGCTTTTGAATGCCCCGTGGAGACGCGGCGGGGAGCGTCCCTCGGGGACCGTCCGCGCGCTCGTCTTTTGCTCGCTCGCCCGTCGTCGTCGCCCTTTCACTTGACCTGCGGTGGAAGGGTGGATTTGATCTTGGCTATCGAATTCACCATTGTCCTCTGCTTTCCAGGTGTACATGTCGGCCTTGATACCGGGGACGATGGTCGAAGACAGTGATCCTGAGATCCCAGATTTTGACGAGCGGGTCCTCCCCGTCGAGGAGTGGGTGGCCGAAGAGCCATTGTCCACCCCCTCTTGCTTCGCGCTCGATGTGTCCGGCGCCTACGCTACCGTGGAGGATAGGGTGGAAAGGGAGCCGCAACACTGGCAGGTGTATCGTCCGAAGGAGCATCATCGTATCTGCTCGAGGTATGGGAGGCGGATGTTTCCCATGCACGAGTTCTACTTTAAAGAGGCTCAGCTCAGACTGTCGTTCTCTGCCTTCCACTTGGGCCTTTTTGACTGGTTACGTTTGGCCCCGTCCCAGCTGCATCCCAACGCTCTGGCCTTTATTCGCGCGTTCGAGGTGGTGTGCCACTATCTCGATGTGGAGGCCACGGTGCCCTTGTTTTTTCGCATCTTCCACCTGCAACGTCAATCGGTGAATGGCCGTCAGGGACGGGTCTCGTTTAAGCAGCCGACCAAGCTCTTTAAGACGTACAGCGACTCTGTCCGAGACTTCAAGGGTCGGTTCTTCCTCATGAAGTCGATCACCCAGGAAGGTTCGGACACTCTTTTTACCGAGGGAGAGAGAATAGTAGACGGCCAGCGGTTCCTTGCGTGGCTCCCCAGGGTACATTTACTGTGGACCTCGAAGCACTTCAACCGCGGTACTGATCGGTATATCGTGCGGGCTGGGACTCTCGACGAGAGGGACATGGCCGCTTATATGAAAATAGCGGCCTTTGTGCGGGATCTTCCTCCGTCGAAACTGGTAACGCCTGACGGTCGGTATATCCTCGACGCGCAGGGGAACGTGCGGACGAAG